TGCATCGCTCTCTTGGCCTTGTCGAGATGGCGAACCAGCCCGAGCATGTCAGGAGTGCGTTCTGGACGCGTGGGCTCCCGCCCTTGGAGGCCGCTGTCGCGCCCATTCCGCCGCCCGTGGAGATTGTGAAGTCTTGGGGCCTCTTCGTGGGGGACCAGGAGGTTCGTGGAGGTCGATATGGTTTGGACGGTTCTGGGGGGACTTTCGCTTCGGATTGGAGGCTCAGGCGCTGTGGATGGTCTGTGGTTCGTTTCGAGGAGGACAGTCTCCAGAGCGTGGGCCTGGCCTGTGACGCTATCCTCATGGGTACCCTCCCCACTGTGGCTCAGTCGAGCCCCAGGGCTGACATGCATGCTAGGATTATGCTGCTTAGACACACTGTGGGAGATATTGTGGCCTACTCTGAGTGTCTTCCTTTGGTGCGTGGTCTCCGTAGGGACAGGTCTTATATCTCTGCTACGTCGCCGATGCTCGACCTCTGGGACCAGCTCTGGACGCTCCTGGATGCTCGTGAAGGCTCTGTGGAGGTGTTGTGGACCAAGGCCCGCCCATTCGACGGCGGGGACTCGTGGGGTTTGGGGCATCTCTAGGGTTGAGTACTTCCTAAATTTTGTTGCTGACTTTTTTGCTGGGGAGGCTGCCGCCTTAGGAGAGGTCCCACAAGACCATGTGAATGTCCTTAATGAAGTAGACGACATGACGGGAAAGGTCTTGTCGCGTCTGCTGGATGTTAATCGTGAAGTTAATTTAACGTGCCGCCGCCTCGTGTCAGATAGAGTCGGGCGTCCTCCTCCTCGGCCGAGGGCCTCCTCCTCTCTCGCCACTCGGAGAAGTCGACTCGAGGCGGCGGGGCACAGTGTCAAGCTCGTGAATTCAAGATATAAATGCATTGTCTGTGGCCGCAATTTTGAGGCCTTGAGGGGAAAGGTTTCCGAGTTTTTCCCTGGTCGGTGCGTGGGGGCGCGACAGATAACGTGCGGGTCTGAGCGTGAGGCCGTGATCGCGCACCCTGGGGCTCCCCGAGCGCACTCGTCCCATGACCTCGCTGTGCTGCGCGGTGTCCTGTTTTGCCGAGTTTGCGGGAGATTCATGACGCAGAACTCCCAGCTCCTCGGAGAGGAGTGCCCACCAAGTCGCACTCCGACGAAAGCAGGCGCCAGTGTACTGTCGCGCCTCAGGCGAGGCCTTCCGCCTAAGAGCGGGATGAATTTCCCAGATCCCTGACGTGTACAGTGGGATCACTGACGGGCTGCGAGAGATGTGTGTGGTGTGAAGCATGCGCCCTGGCCAGACCAGGTCCCCGCCGAGCGCCCAGCAGCAGTCCTCATCCTCATCATCCTCATCATCCTCCTCATCCTCCTCCTCACATCCACCATCACGACCTATAGCACCACAGCTATCGCAATATCCATGTATGCGTTAATTCACGAATGCACTCGCCGTCCTCTCTTACTTCTCATCACCATCATCACCACCGCCGTCGTCATCAGCAGCAGCACCACCATCATCACGATCACCATCAGCAGCAGCAGCAGCTTCCCCGTCGTCACCATCACAATCCTCTTCAGCATCTTCCTATGCCCCTGCATCTGCATCATCGTAATCATAGTCCTCCGCCTCCTCTTCCTCCTCCTCCTCCTCCTCCTCCTCATCATCATCATCATCATCATCATCATCATCATCATCATACTCCTCCGCCTCCTCCGCCTCTTCCTCCTCCTCCTCCCCCACATTCGCCTCCTCCTTATCCTGAGCAGCAGCACCCCTCCTCGTCCTCATCCCCCCCTGCCCCTCACATTTGAAAACTGCTGGGGATCGGAGAAGCTCCTCGCGCCAGACAGCAGGCGAAGTGGGAGGAGCAGCAGCAGGAACAGCAGGGAGCACGATTGGGGAAGGGTTGGGCAGCGACGGGACTGCACATCTGGGAGGGGCGGAGCTCGGCCCCCCAACCCCTCCCACAGCCCGGACCCTCCTCATCCATCCTCCTGCTGCCTCCTCGCCCCCTCCTCCTCATCTTTGCTCTCATGCGAGGCGGGGATATCCAGAATCACCCCCTGGCAACCGACGTCCTGCTGCCCCAGCGGGCCCCAGCGGGCGGTGGATATTGATATGTTCCCAACTATCCTGTGGAATTGGGTCCTCGCTTTGAAGGAAGAGCACGCCGCGTTCCTTGGACTTGGACTTGGATTCCGGCTCGAAGTCTGTCCAGACTAGCCAGCAATTTCACTATATTACACACTGCGCCTACCCACCAGCTCTCTCACAAACGTCGAGCAGTCAGCCAGCCCGGCCGCCTCAGACCAAAACGAGTCAATCCACGTGCTGTGGAATATTTCCCCAATGACCAAAGGGCGTGCTGCCCCTCTCAGATAAGACCTCCACGACCCACGCCGATGCAGCACATACTCTGCCACGCAAGCCGTCGTCGGAGGGGACAATCAAGCTGCACTGACGTACGGATTTTGTAGGGTACGGCCAGCCAAAATCCACAGACCACCACGTCTTCTGCACATCCATCCTGTAGTTTGCCAGGTGGTCCGCTGGGCCAATGTATCCCTCTGGCGCTTCGCCACAAGGTAGGCTCAAAGATCCGGCGGAGACCATCCCGAATTGTCGCAAGTGCGGCGCACCAATTGCACCCTGTGTTCTTCCTCTCCTCCTCCTCGTCGTCCTCCTCATCGTCCTCCTCCTCCTCCTCCTCCTCCCGTCCCTGCCTCTGCCCCGCTTTTGGCACAACCCTCACACGGTTCGTGGCCCCAGAGGGAGCTCCACCGACCGCCCTAGTGGCAGGGTTCGCATGGCGGCGCCGCCCTATTATGGCACACCCATGAAGCTCCACCGAAGGCACCAGTGGCAGGGTTCGCATGGCGGCGCCGCCCCATTTTGGCACACCCCTCACACGCTTCGTGGCCCCATAGAGAGCTCCACCGAAGACGACACCCATGACTGCGGTACTCACAGCTGCAGATGGTTGGGTCTTCGCCAATCGAATGTTGGCCCTCGGGGGGCCGAATATATCCATATCCACCGCCTGTGGAGGTCCGCGAAGATCGATCCCCCGGGCGGTGGTTATGGATCAATCCCCGCCTCGGATCTCCTCCCTGTTCGCGCAACATTGCCTTCAAGAGTCCATCACTTGCGTTGCAGACCTCTCCTGCCCTTCACGCAGGACGAAAGATGCCCCCCTCGCGCGCGAACCGCAACACTCCGCCCCCCCCCCCGCTTCCGTAGAATCTGACCGAGACGCCTCCCACGAGTCCCCGCCCGCCATCCGCGTGGCCTCAGACCCGCAGCCCGGGCACGGTGGCGGGATGTGCCGAAGGCCATTCGATGATCAGGGCCTCAGGAGCAGCACGCCACAACCGCCAGTTCCCGAAGGGGTCGGCGGCGTGGCGTAAGCCCAAAAAACTTACCGCGGGCGGGGCCTGGGACAGTGGATCTGAGATCGTGCCGTCCCCCCGTTCGAAGTCCTGGAGATTCCCGCATCCCCACCAGCCAATCCAGCAAGGATGCCCAAGCGAAGTGCCCTGACCAGGGAAGAGAAGGACGGTGAGTTAAACAGAAGGTATGGATCAACATGCGCAGATTCAGGAGTGAGACATTTATGACTTCGCGGCCCTATCGGATGAAGGAGAAGGGGGGCGGAGAAGAAGGACTAAGAGGAGGCGGGAGGTGGAAAAGGAGGATCAACGAGCAGGGAAGAACAGAAGAAGGAATGCGGGCAGAAGGAATCTGAGTTTGACGTAGCACGTTTTCAAGATTAGGCTGGTGCACTCTGGGCGAGGGATGAGGAGGAGGAGGAGGAGGAGGAGGAGGACGGAGAGAAATAGGAGGAGCATGAAGAGGAGGAGAAGCAAGAGAAATACACGGAGGGAAGAGGAGGCGGAGGAGGAGAAACTTGGGGCGAGAATGAATGCGACGGCGTCGACGACGACGATTCAGTTATGAAGGCCTTTGCGGATGCGGACCTTTCACTTTGGGAGCATCCCAAACACCTGTCTGAAGCGACATTCGGGCCCTCTTTGGGTCATTTTGCGAGCCGTCGACGCCCTCTTGGGGCTCTCTTGGGGCCCTCTGGGGATGTACTCGGGCCCTCTTCGGGACCATAGAGGGTTGGGCCCTCGTTAGCCGTGTCTCCTGTGGAGCCAGAGAAATCACATATTGTGACTCTCTTGGGGCGCTCTTGGGGCGCTCTTGGGGCCGCATTGGAACTCTTCTGGACCCCGTCGGGGTTCTCCTGGGCCATCTCGGAGCCATTTCCGGACGCCCCAAAAGCTCATCAGAAGCGAAACGGCGAGAACGCCAAAATCATGTGTTCTCCTGAGATGTTGGACGGAGTTCGTCCTCTCGGGGGCGTCCTTGGAAAGCTCCATAGCCACTTGCACCCATAATGATATTTGAAGCATGGTACAGCCATCTTGGGCCATGTTGGACGCTCTGATCGCTCGCACCCCCCCGCGCCCAAATCCAGGGAACAAGTAAGGTGGAGTAGTAGACCCCTTCCCGAAGGGGTCAGAAGGGGGTTGGATGAGAACGAATCACCTCCGCCCAGAACCACGGGGCATCAAACAAATCCGATTGAAAAAACAGGGCGGGAGAATCACATGTGGAACAGACGAACTGTGATCCACACTGGCGAACAATCAGATCCACAGCAACCCCACTCAGAACCGACACCGGATGCGCGCTGTCTCGATCGGATCCACTGCAGATCCACCATACATGTCATGGTTGCACTTCAAAGCCGCCAGTTCTGGACCCACAATCACACAGAATGTCCAAGGGCATACCCCCCAGGATTCACAACAATACACAACAAACACGAATACCATTAGGGCACCCTCCCCGCACTGACCTCGACCTTATACCTGGGTCCGACCGCAATCTCTGCAGCGAACTACTCGTATCTTGGGGTTGCCAGCATCTGCTGCCCGCCCACCCGCACACCCTCCCCACACCCCAACCCAGACCCCAGTCCCCCACCACCACCACCGGACCGCCTGCCAGGGCGTCCGCGGTGCGATCCCCGGCCACGCCCATCACGGTGGAGTGCGAGATGCCGCCGGCTGTCCTCGCCCAGCCTTGCCTCTCCACCTCCGTACTTCCCCTGCCTGGAGGAAGACGGGGAGAGCGGAGAAGGATGGGGGAGGAGCAGGAGCAGGGGGAAAGGGGAATTGGAGGCGAGAAGGATGACAAAGAGCACCAGACGCTGCCTCCACCCGATCCTGCGTCTCTCCCCCACGCCTTTTGCACGCGAGACTTGGGCACCGCTCGCCATCAGGAGAGCGGTGGCCAGTGGAGTAGCTGTAGCAGTAGAAATAGCGAAGAGCAGTAGTAGTAGTAGTAGTAAAAGTAGTAGTAGTAGTAGTAGTAGTAGTAGTAGTAGTAGTAGTAGTAGTAGTAGTAGTAGTAGTAGTAGTAGTAGTAGTAGTAGTAGTAGTAGTAGTAGTAGTAGTAGTAGTAGTAGTAGTAGTAGTAGTAGTAGTAGTAGTAGTAGTAGTAGTAGTAGTAGTAGTAGTAGTAGTAGTAGTAGTAGTAGTCGTAGTAGTAGTAGTAGTAGTAGTAGTAGTAGTAGTAGTAGTAGTAGTAGTAGTAGTAGTAGTAGTAGTAGTAGTAGTAGTAGTAGTAGTAGTAGTAGTAGTAGTAGTAGTAGTAGTAGTAGTAGTAGTAGTAGTAGTAGTAGTAGTAGTAGTAGTATAGTAGTAGTAGTAGTAGTAGTAGTAGTAGTAGTAGTAGTAGTGGTAAAGTAGCAGTAGTAGTAGTGGTAGTAGTAGTAGTAGTGGTACTAGGTGGTAGTGATAGTAGTAGTAGTAGTAGCAGTAGTAGTAGTAGAAGAAGAAGTAATAGTAATAATGATAGTAGTAGGAAGGTAGTGGTAGTCGTGGTAGTCGTGGTCTCGCAGTCGTAGCCGTAGTCGTAAAAGTAATAATTGTAGTAGTAGCAGTAGTAGTAGTACCTAGCATCAGTGCGACTACTACTACTACTACTAGTACTACGACTACTACTACTACTACTACGACTACTACTACCACTACTACTACTACTACTACTACTACTACTACTACTACTACTACTACTAACGACTACTACTAACATTACTATTGCTACTACTACTACTACTACTACTGCTACTAGTACGACTACTACTACTACTACTGCTGCTACTACTACTACGACTAATACTACTACTACTATTACTACTACTACTACTACTACTACTACTCCGACCACTACTACGACTACTACTACGACGACAACAACAACTACTACTACTACTATGACTATTTCTACGACTACTACGACGACTACTACTACTACGACTACTACTATTACTACTACGACTAGAACTACTACTACGACTACTACTCCTACTGCTACTACTACTACTACTACAACTACTACTACTACTACTTCTACTACTACAACTACTACTACTACTACTACTACTACTGCTGCTGCTACTGCTACTACTACTACTACTACTACGACGACGACGACGACTACTACTACTACAACGACTACTACTACGACGACGACCACTACTACTACGACTACTACTACTACTACTACTATTACTACTACTACTACTACTACTACTACTACTACTACTCCTACTACTACTACTACTACTACTACTACTACTACGACTACTACTACTACTACTACCACTACTACTACTACTACAACTACTACTACTACTACTACTATTACTACTACTACTACTACTACTACTACTACTACTACTAGTACTACTACTACTACTACTACTACTACTACTACTACTACTACTACTACTACTACTACTACTACTACTACTACTACTACTACTACTACTACTACTACTACTACTACTACTACTACTACTACTACTACTACTACTACTACTACTACTACTACTACGACTACTACTACTACTACTACTACTACTACTACGACTGCTACCGCTACTGCTACTGCTAAAAGTCGTAGTAGTAGTAGTAGTAGTACTACTACTACTAGAACAGGCAGAATGCAGTAGTGAAAGTAGTAGTCGTCGCAGTATGTGCCGTAATATTGCTAGCCGTCGCCGTGGATGTAATAGTAAAAGATAGTCGTAGCAGTAGTAGCAGTAGTAGTAGTAGTGATAGTCGTCGTCGGCGTCGTCGCAGCAACCGTAGCACCAGGCTGGCCCCGGTTGTTTCCAAGAGGGTTCAGATTTGTTTAACTAGGTCGTCCAGGCTGCGGTCTCTTAGGAGAGCGGGGGCGTTTGTGGGGCATGTGCAGAGAGAGGGTCCTCAGGCTTCTGCGTTGTGGGGTTGTGCTGTGAGGGGTCTTCCGTGGTCGCAGTTGAAGAGGATCCGCACTCAGGCACTGCTTTCCCTGGCTCCCATGAAGAAAGGGGCCTCCACGGGTTTAAAGCTGCGCTCCTTTAAGCAAGGGAGGCGCATGGACCCCGTGCCCCTCTACTTTAAACAAGTTTTGTTTGAGTGGTCTCGGGCGGTCTGGGATGGATTTCCTAAGATCTCGATTCTCCAGACTATTTTTCAGGATGCGGTGCGAACGCTGTCCAGCACCAGTCGCCCTTGGAGTCGTGCTACGTCGCCTGCTCATGTTTTCGTCATCGCCTGTGGGGACCTGGGCTGGGCAGCGCAATCGGCACGCCTCATTACCTTAGCGTCCGGAGAACAGATCGATCTGTTACGTATCTCACCTGCTGCCGTCGCTGCTCTCGCCGACCGCGCCGCCAGGGAGATGTCGGATTTCCGTGCCCTGGAGACTCGTGCTGGATCCGATTCTTGGTGTCGGCCCGTCTTCTGGCAGCCTGTGGAAATGTTGCTCTCGCGCAAGACCGCCAGCTGGGGCAGGTCCCAGCTGAATTCGTTCCGTGCGGCTGTGTCTGGCACTTGCTGGCCTCAGGATCGGCTTTTCAGGCACGGACTTGTGCAGTCAAACCTTTGTACCCTGTGCAAGCGTGCTCCGGGTACAGTCTTCCATCGCAGGTTTGAATGTGATGCGTGGTATTCTGACAGGTTTCATTTCCTTTCCCACGAAGCTCTGGCCGCTGCCAGGAGGGTGAGAGCGTTCGGGGGGTCGGGGGAATTCTTCGCTTCAGGCCTCTTCCCGAGCCCCCGCGAGCTGGTGCCTCCACCGCTCTCGTCGGAGAATTGTACAGCGCTTTGGATTCGCAGGCCAACTGATGGTCTGCTTCGGGGCCGGCTGTTCACTGACGGTTCGGCCCTCTTCCCCTCGGATCCCCTCCTCCGTAGAGCCGGTTGGTCCATTGTGATGGTAGATGATTCGGGATCGATGTTGGCTGCTGCTTTCGGCCCCGTCCCGTGCGATGTTGCGCCTCTTCAGCTGTCTGCTGATGGGGAGGACTATGCCTTCTTCATGCTTTGTTCGCTGGCCGACACCCTTGATATAGAAGGGGTCTGGGCGGACTGTGCCGGCACCATCGCGGCTGCTCGGTCGAGGGTTCGTTCGACGTCAGCCAAGAATTTGCAGGCACATCTTTGGTGCCATCTCCATTCCGTCTTTGAGTCCGGCTTGCCAGTTCATAAGACGAAAGCCCACACTAGTGAGGCGGATGTGGCCAGGGGGGTGACGACGCGGTGGGAGAGGAAAGCTAACGGCATCGCGGATGCCTTGGCCAAGCGGGGAGCGGCTCAGCACCCCTCGGTGGCCGAGGCCGCCCGCGAGGTCGCTGGTCTCCGCCTTCTTGCCCGGGAGATCGGGCAGTGGATTGGGAGGCAGGGGGTTTTGATGGCCGAGCGGGGCTGGCAGGACGCGGAAGGCCTGCCCGAGAAAGGCCCCCCTGGCCCTCGGAGAGCGGCCCCCCGTACCCCGAGGCCCGTCCCGCCCCTTTCCGTCAGGTTTCGGGCCGTGCTCTCAGCTGTGGCGGAGGGGCCCTCCGATCCTGAGCTCGCCATACTGGTGCAGCTGGCTGAGCACAGCCTTCGTGTTTGCAAGGTCTTTGATGCCGAGGGTGCCTCTGTCCTGACCGCCCCGAGGATGATTTGTTGTGTGTCGTGTGGTGCTTACGCGTGGGCGAGGGTCAAGGAACTTGCCAGTCGCTGCCACGAGCACGCGGCTGGCAAGGGGCTCGGGCAGCAGAGGACCCGGATTTGCTCGAGGCTCTTCCCCAGGTGGCTCACTCGGTATAGTGGGTGGAGCCTCGGAGAGCTTGAGCGCCCTGCGCCTTCGGACCTCTTGGACCTCGCTCGGGCGATCCTGGGCCGTCCTCGGGCTCCAGGTTTTGCTTCTTCCAGGTGTGTGTTCCCCAGGGGGCCTCCGTGGAATGCAGGTCTCACCCGAGGTCAGCTGCTGGGCAAGTACGGGCTGGACGCCCACTCCCTGGCCCACTTCGTGTCCGAGGCCGAGGCCGCCGTGTTCGGCGGCGAGGCGGGGCATGAGGAGGAGCAGCATCAGGAGGAGGAGACGGCGGTGTTGACCCCCTCCTCCTGAGCCTTTTTGCTTTTTATCCTGGGGTTTGCCTGCCTTGACGGCTTGCCCATTCTTCATTTCATGTCATTCCCCCCTCCTGAGGTCCATCCCCTCCCCCCCTTGCCCCCCCCTCTTACCCCCGCCACCCCCTGACTCCTCCCCTCCCCCGAGGCCCAATCCCCGCGTCTCTTCCTGCCCGCTTCCAGATGCTATAATTACGCTGCCCTCTGCTGCTGGCTGCTGCGAGTGGGAGAAAAGGGCAGGAGGGCAACCAGGGGGGAGGAAAGGGAGGAGAGGGAGGGGGGGAGAGGGTGGGCGGGGTGGGGGAACCGCGGCCGCTGTCGGTCTGGGACAACACTCGTTGCTGGGCATTGTGCCCCTGTTTTTCGTACCCCTTTCGGGCGTCCACATCGCGGATGCCAGAGAGAGTCACCTTGCCGCTTCCCGCCGTGCTGCTCACCGCCGCGCTGCCTGCTCAGCGTCTTGCTGCTGGTGCTTGTTCGACACCCCCTCCCTCCGATTACCAGAAGATGTCGGATTCCTTCCGCCGCTGTCCGTCCTGTCGGCCAGCGTGCGGCTGCGAGTGAACTGCTTCGTGCGCTCGCTGAGGGTCTACAAGAGGTCCAGAAACGATCGAGCATATCATGAAGTGCTAATTCCTCGCACGTCCTTCGCGAAACTGAGCATTCCATCCCCTTGCCATCGCTAGGACGTCCGTTCCCGGTGTATGTTTCTGATTCGTGCGCGCTCTTTTTGTGCCCGGTGATCCCGGGATGCTCCTCGACGGTCCTCGCCGAGGAAAAAAAAAAACACGTCCGAGCGGTGCCAAGATCCCCGCTTCACTGCCGTGGCCCTCGCCGCTCTCCCGCGCCCCAGGCTCGCCCCTGGGCTGTCGAAGACGAGCTCGCCGCCGAGGCCGACCAGAGGTGAGCCTCTGGCTGTGCTGGGTCGGGGACGGACAGAACCCCCTCTAGGCATCTGGCTGTGTTGGGTTGGGCATCGCTCAAATCTGAGGAGAACAATTATCGTGTCGGGGAGAAGGGGCCGAGAGGATGAGTAGCATGGGCAATGGCAACCGAGTGCAATGAACGATACCTTCGGCCGCCTGCGGTAATGAGATCCTCATATCTCCAAACCCCATCCTCCCTACCTCGAGGATCCTCATATCTCCAAACCCCATCCTCCCAATCTCGGGGATGGACAGAACCCCTTTTAGTAAAACGTGGTTCAGCGAAAACGACCTCGGGCCCAAACATGGCGGGCGCAAGCCTGGAAAATGACGGCCGTGGCGCCCTCTCGAGAACCAAGAACGGACAGTTCACTAATCGACGTGTCAGGGTGGGGGTTCTGTCCACCCCCGATGGAGTGGGCGGTACAGTCGGACCTAGGCCAGAAAAACCTCCCTCAAGAACATGAGACCCTCCGTCCGCCAAAACAAGCAGAACAGCCGAGGGTACTCTTCCCAGGGTGCACAGGAACACCCAACAAACACGAAGAACACCAGGGTACCCTCCCCGAGCCGACCTCGACCATATACCTCGGTCCGACTGTAAATGCTTTGAAACGTTTCCGGCCCATCATTTTGCTTGTTGCCATGCGAGGCTCGACGGGCCGGCCACGGCCCATTGCTGATGACTCAAGAGAACAGAACATTGAGCTCCGCGTGCTGTTGGGACACAGCACGTGGGAAAAAGACAACATCAGAGGCGCAGCCCTGCATGTCAGGTCTCAGCAGGCAGGAGCGACAGACAATTGCGGTCCGATGGATGCGTCCTCTGGCGAATTCAAGTCTCGGTTGCTGCCCACGCACGCGCCGGCAGAAGAGGGGGAAGGGGGAGGAAGGGGTCAGGGAAAGGAATGCTCACCGAGACCGGCCCGCCGAGGGCGGATCAGTAGCTCACCTGCACCGAGCTGCCTGGCCCACACCCCGCGGGCACCTGGAAGCTGACGAGGCGGCCATCCGGCGCTTGCACCTGGTACGTCTTCCCCTGGAAGGCGTCGGCAGGCAAGACCACCGTCGTCGTCTGCGACGGCGCCGCCGGCTGCGCGTAGTACTGCGCGTACTGCGCGTACTGCGCCTGCTGCAGCTGCTGCTGCTGCTGCTGCTGGAGCTGCTGCTGCAGCTGCTGCTGCAAGGCGGCCTGCTGCAGAGCCGCGGCGTACTGCTCCTGCGTCATGTACTGCTGCATTGCGACTAGCGGGGCGAGCAGTGAGTGCCTTCGAATGCCGACGACTGAACAGCGGGAGAGCGCTGCGGGCCCTTGACGAGCAAGTTTGCTGGGCCGAAATCGCCTGAATCAAATTGGCTTGAGCCAAACTTGAGCCAAAATGGCTATGTACGGAAACGTTTTCGGCACTTCTTGGGCGATTTCGGGAGCCTCCGAGGTCGGAGGCATCTCCCAAGACCTCGTGAGACCTCGGGGGGGGCTGAATAGACCTTTGGAGAAGAGAGGCAGAAGGGGGGGGGAGGAGGAGGAGGAGGAGGAGGAGGAGGAGGAGGAGGAGGAGGAGGAGGAGGAGGAGGAGGAGGAGGAGAGGGGAGGAAGAAGGAGGAGGAGGAGGAGGAAGATGAGGAAGAAGAGAAGGAGGACGAGGACGAGGAGGCGGAGGAGAAGGAGGAAGAGGAGGAGGAGGACGAGGAGGAGGAGGAGGAGAGAGGAAAAACAGGAGGAGGAGGAGGGGGAGGGGCAGGAGGAGGGGGAGGCGTAGGAGGATGAGGAGGGGGAGGAAGCGGAGGAGAAGGGGGAGGACGAGGAGAAGGGGGAGGACGAGGAGAAGGAGGAGGGGGGGGAGAAGGGGGAGGAGGAGGAGGAGGAGGAGGAGGACGAGGAGGAGGGTGGAAGGGGAAGATCAGCAGGAGAAAGACGAAGAGAGGAGATAACAAGAGAGAGAGAGAGAGACCACCTGCAGCCGGCTTTCCCTCGCTGTGTTCCTCCTGCCAGGTTCTGCCTGCGACCTCCGAGGCTCGGAGACCAGAGGTCTTCTGGGCGCGGTTGGCCCCCATGTGGGATCTCCGAGGGCCTCAGCAGGGGGGCCCTCCGGGGAGTTCTCTGGTTACACTGTGAAGGTCAAGATCCAGGTTGTCAAAACAACCTAGTTGTGTAGGTAGCCTGACCCATTATCTGCCCCCTCGTCCTTTCTCCTCCGACCCCATCCCTCGTCTTTAGTCTTCTTCGTCGCGCCGCGAGACGTGTCCGTACAGTAGGGCGGGCGGGTCGGGCGTTTCGCTCGAAACTTCCTCGTCCTCAATGCTCTGGCAGCTTGGAATTTCCAACAGCTGCACAGATGGAGCGTGGCTGGTTTTCAAAATGTGGCTCTCGCCGTAGCGTCCCACACGCTCGCTTGAAAGCTTTCGACAGCTACACTGACGAGGCTCGCCTAAGCGTCAAGAGCGCACGGATGGAAGGCGGGCTGTTTTCAGGTGTGGCCCCGCCTGAACGCCGCAGGCCTTCGTCTGTAGAGGTCCCCACAGCACATGGAGGCAGCTGAGATACGTGTTCTCCACACTGATCTCGCCTTGACGCCGCGCCCATGACTGCAACATTCTGTGTCATGGTACTGGCGATCGCTCGGCGCGGGAGGGCCCAGGTCGAGCTGCGACGCGCCACACCCTCCGTCGCTCGGACGTCAACTGCTCTCCATCGCTCTCCAGTTTTCCGTTCCGTGCGCGAAAGGTTTCGCAAGATGACCCCAACTGCTCCACGAGGGCCCCTGCCGAGAACAACTGCACACGTCCGAACGACGCCAGGTAAATTAACACCACATATCGGGCAGAGACCGACCGTCCCGGCATTCCCATAGGCTACCACGACGTGTTCTCAGAACCCAAAAATGTTCTAAGAACAAACACCGCGTGCTTAGAACAAAAATAAGCCCGATGTGCCAAATCAAGACAGTCTCAGCCAGAAATGCTCTAAGAATATTTCGTGTAGATCGCAAAAGGTTATCATAACATTATTTGGTGGGTGATCGAGGACATCGCCGCCGCCGCGAAACCCAGCCTCGCGAGCGCCATTCGTGCTGCGCGGGCGCATCGGGCGCAGCCGCTGAGCTAACTGCTCTGGCCCCACATGCGACCCAGTTCGTCCCAGAAACTCCAGGACCTTCAGGATCCGTCGTATCCCCCATGCATCAAAGAAGCGGCCAACAATTACACGGATGAGGGCAACTCCATGTCAAGTTGAGCTACGACTTTTCCTCTTCAGAGTGGGGCCCTCAATTCAGAACTCCTGAATGTGCACGGCTAGACCTAGCCAAAGTGTGTGCACCAAGTACACGGACTAAAGGGCTGCTCGTTTTCAGAACGCAGCTCGCGCTGGACAGTCTTTGAACTTTCTGGTCCTACCTGTTGGCGCTTCCTATATCTAGACTGTTGGAGGCTGGCTCCTGTCCAACATGTGGCTTCGCGTGAGTGGAAGGCCCATGGGGCACTCGTCTTTCAGGGGCGCTTCCCGCACTGTAAGGGAATGTTCGTTGGGCCTTTTTCGAAAGGGCTTTGGACAGGACGGTGGACTGTAGAATCGTTGAATCACCCTGGATATGCTCTGGTCCTCCAACTCCTCCTCCTCACCCTGCTCGCCATCACCCTCACCCACATCCTCACCCTCACCCTCACCCCCATTATCAGCATCATCATCATCATCATCATCATCATCAGCATCATCATCATCACCATCCCCATCAGCATCAACATCAACATCATCATCAGCAGCAGCATCAGCATCAGCATCATCATCAGCAGCAGGAGTATCATTACCATCACCATCAGCATCACCATCACCATTACCATCACAGCCATCGACATCACCAAAAAGTACCACCACCAGCATCATACTCATCATAACCCACATCACCATAAACATCCTCGTCATAATCATCACCATCGCCACCATCAGCACCATCATCAGCGACCGCATGAGCTTCATCATCGTCATCAGCAGCAGCATCTTGATGATCATCATGATGGCCACCACCACCATCATCATCAGCCTCATCATCGTCGGCATCAGCAGAATCGCCATCATATTTGACATCATTTCACCATCAGCACCATAATCATTACCACTACCACCATCACCATCATCACCGCAATCCCCATCAATCGGCGACCGTCGGGATCTTAGGTAGAATGCATGCACATCTACATATACATCTACATGCATCGGAACATCTACGTATACATCCGCAACTGCATAACCATATGCGTTTTCATGTACATATAAACATACATGTTCATATACATATAAACATATGTGTACAAAGATGTACCATGTTATTGAACAGCTACATGTACATTACACAAACACACGCATATACAAACGCGCGTATATATACTGTTGCATACACATATACCTAGAGCTACACCTGCACTAGATTATACACATACACACATGGACACATACATGCATATACACACCTATACATATGCATATCCCTCGTGGTTCCGCAGGGCGCACCGCCCACAACGACTTACTGCACGACAGGCTCATAAGTTGCAAGGAGCATCGCCCTCGCTGAACGGGCGCTCTCCGCAGCTGCAAGTGGCTGAGACCACTTGGATGGGCTCAGCTCCGACTGCACGTCGTACGTATCAAAAGCTATGATGGCGCGTTCCAATGCTAAGCGCTGTGCGTGCACGTCTGCACCTTCGCAGCAAAGACCAGGACGTGCAGGCAACGATTCAGGGGCAGGGATGCGGATGCACCATACGCTGCAGGCACCGTGCCAGAGATGGGAGCAATGACCATATGGGGCATGGCATCGAAGAGGGACTCTAAGAGGAGGCACCCCGAAATACAGGGTCCGTCCGCACTGTTCGAAATGGTATGGAGGCGGCGACTCGTCGTCCACCCACCCGCACATGTCTTGAGTGGGGCAGAGGGAGCAGCAGGGGGAAAAGAGGTCGAGAGACATTTTTCGAACGGTTCCCATTCGATTTGGCGCAAGGTGAATTTGTCCAGGCGGCGCCACCCAAGAGTTGAGACGAGCGGGGAGGGTCGATGGGGAGGCGATCAGGCAACAGAGAAGCGACGAGGTGAGACTGGGCAAATTTCTGCATACGAAGGCGAGCATCCGGGCGAGCAGCAAGGAGGCGCTTCTTTTCCGCGTGCCACTCACTCAGAACAGAGCCGCAGGCGATGGCCAACTTTACTGCCTTGTCACTCGCGAAGCCCGAGGCAGCCGACTCGAACGCGTGGGCAATCGGCTCATACTGACCGTGCGAGACCTCGAAGGGAGAGAGCGCTGTCCCAGCAGCCTCACGCAACCAACGAGCCCACAACGACCAGTTCTGGATGGTGACGAAGGCGCTGCGCATCAGGGCCGCGCGGTTCGGCTGTTCAGCTCGAGCGACACCGTCTTCAGAGGCGACCAGCGACCCAGCGCCAGAAGATCATCACCTGGAAGTGCTTGCGGGGTCGGTGCCAGACTCGGTGTACTGCCCACAACTCCTTCCGCTTCATCTTGGACGGCCACAGGGACAGTTGGTTCAGGTATGAAGTTTTGCTGACCGCGCGCTGGTTGCACAGCATCATGGAGGTGCTAGTGGGCGCACCGACGCCCGCAATCAGGTTGGTTGTGCGCTGCCAGCCCCCGATTACCTTCTGCCAGCGCACCAGGCCGTCCACGCCAGGACCCAGCAGCACCCCTAGGTTCTCCGCCATGTCGTTGGTCGACATGCACTGCCAGCGAAGAACAATGTCAACGATTCTGTCTCGGATCCTGCTCTCCACCGACGGCGAGACGTCCTCCGCTAAAAGGATGATCTTGCACTTCACCGTCTTCAGCACCAACCGCGCCAGGACCTCAGCAGCGTAGAAGACGTGGTTCAGCGGGCGGAGCATCTTCAGGGGCGGACATATACAGATGTACATGTGTATATACATGTATACGAACACAGATACATAAACATGTACAAATACATATACATATACGTATACGTTTCCATAACCATAAGCATTAGCATACACGTACATATATACATCTACATATAACATACCTATATGTCTATATATATAGGGAAATCGATGCGAGGCGGCGACGGGGCAGCGCCGGCGACAACATCGCCGCCAGACCGACGGTCAGGCCCAGACGACGGGCGGCGACGAGGCGGCGACGAGGCGGCGACGGCGACGACATAGCCGCCAGACCGACGGTCAGGCCCAGAAGACGGGCGGCGACGAGGCGGCGACGGGGCTGCGACGGCGACGACATGGCCGTCAGACCGACGGTCAGGCCCAGACGACGTGCGGCGACGGGCGGCGATGGAGACAACATAGCCGACAGACCGACGGTCAGGCCCGGACGACGGGCGGCGACGAGGCGGCGACAGGGCGGCGACGGCGACAGCATAGCCACTGGACAATCAACCAGGCCCAGTTCCTCATACCATAAGCAAAAACCCTTAAGTGCAAGCAGCACTTT